CTCCTGCTGCTGCTGCTCCTGCTACTGCTACTGCTACTGCTACTGCTACTGCTATTGCTGCTGCTGCTGCTGCTGCTACTGCTACGATTGCTACTGCTACTATTGCTACTCCTGCTGCTACCACCACCACCACCACCACCACCACCAGTACCACCACCACCGCCTCCACCACCACCACTACCACTTGGGGCTTGGCGAGGTGGGGCACGTCACTTCCCTGTGTACGGGTTGGTGCCCACTCACTGGCGGTCCTGGTCAGGAGTTGCCCCACTACCACTACAACTACTACTACTACTACTACTACTACTACTACTGTGAAACATTACAAATCAGGACTACCTGTTTGTGCTTTCTGCGACCATGACTTTCGTCAATGGTCGAACCTACGACAACACATTACACGAGGCAGGTGCTCGGCTCTTAAACAATCATTGGTTGTATACACATGCCTCCTCGTGAGCTGGAGGACAACGTGGAGCCACTCAGTACCAAAGCTGCCAACCACCCAACGGCGTCCCTGGAGCTCTCTTCTTCACCAGGTCAGGCCACAACCGTGCCGATCCCACAGACTCACCCACCGCCACTGAACCGGCACCTCTGGCAAGCTCGGACGGTGGACCAGGAGCCTGCTGTTCAGACCGCACTTGCCCATCACTGTCCGCTGTGTATGCAATGGGCAGCTGGTTCGGCCAATGTCACATGCGCCCGGAATGGCTCGAAGCTAGGCAGGCCATACGTGACAGTTTGAAGAGCTTCCGTAGGTGTTCAGTATCAGACCAATGGACATGGAGGAGGAGGAAGTGAAGTTCTTCAGGGAATCTCAAGAGATGGCAAGGTCCACGGGCGACACCTTCAAGCGACAGCGAGCGGAGTCGACACCGTCGAATACTCCATTCTCCAAGTGCAAGAGGCAAGCGCCAGAGCAAGGGCAAGGGCAAGGGCGGCAAATCGGCGACGGGGCGCTAGGACTACACAGGTCGTTCCAGCCAGTGGCAACAGCCGTGGCCAAACATGGGAGAGGATGTGTCCAGGTGCTACATCGGCGATCAGGATGCGCAGTACTATCAGCAACATGTCCAAGCCCTGACACAACTGGTAGTGCGGCAGGAACAAACCCTGGCCTCCCTTCGACAGGACAGCACGGTCTACCTGTTTGTTCGGACGGGGGAGAAGGGAATGATACCTCTGACCTTCCAGGCAGCGGAGAAATGGAGGAATCAAAAGGAGACTTCTCCAGGGACACTCGCGTATTCTGTGAAGATCGCCATGTTCAAACAACTCCTACGCGAATTCCATTCCCGCCTGCTTCAGATGCAACAGGGCTCTCAGGGGATGGAACATGCCAAGCAGTTGAGATGGAACATGCCAAGTAGTTGAAGTGGACATCGGCGCGTTCTAGAATGGAAGCAGAGACAAGACATCCGACGACCTCCTCAAGGCGGCAGTCCAGCTGAGAAAAGCGGCCACGGAGGAGGCCATTCATCGGTTTCACAGCATGAGGCGGCTGACCCCCAACCCGACAACGGATTGGGTCCAGTTCCAGATCGAGGTCTCTCTTCGTCCCCTCGGGGCCCCGGCGTGGCAGAGTCTTCAAAGCTGGATCGGACAGGCGGCGTGGCGTCTCATCAGCTGTCATCAGCCTGAAAAGAATGTCAAGGCTTGCGCGGTACAACTCCACCAACTTGTGCTACCTCAATCTGTCCAGCCCGGGCTGTTCAACGAACACAGCTACATGGCTCCACCACCTCTAGACTGGGTCCTAATCTGGCCCACTTGTGCACCCAAACATGTTCCGGTTCACGTGCCGTTCAGGTGGCTCAGCTTTTACCATTCATGGAAGCTCCTGCTTCGGCAGTAGCCCCAATTGCACTCACAGCATGACCTGCCTGAGCTCCTTGCCTATATCATGCTCAGGTGTGTTCTGAATGATGTGGGACATGATGCCATCATCTGGGAGGCCAAAACTCTACGTCGCGAGGATTTGCAAGTGCTGGATTCTGGGACGATGGCTACACCCATCTCCATGCCACTCTGTGCAGGGGAAGCCTGTCATCTGCAGGCGTGTGTGCACCGGTGGCATTCTCAAGCCAGTGTGCACACATTGACCTGGCAAGTTCCCTTGTTCAGTGTGCAGCTCCTACATTTCCATCAGGATGACACAGGTTTGATGCAGCGCGATGACAGACCACTTACAGTAATGGATTGTCAGGGGTGATGATGATGACAGCTTTCTGTGATCCTCTCAATGAGCTTCGGCTTGATGCAGCAGATGAGCAACTGTCCATCCCGTGCGAACACATGGCTTACGAGGTGGTGGCAATGGCTCTGCACTCGGGAATCGGCCGCCGAGGGGCATTGCAGCGTGGTTTTGCGGGGACAGCCATTCTTCGGCGACACAAAAAGCTGGGTCACGAATGACCACCGCGCTGCTGTTCAGTACGTTGGTCATGCCAATGCTGATGTGTATGTGGTTTGGCTCAGACGTGCGCCAGGCATGGGTGTTCGAGATCCGGCAGTGACGCCAAGATGAGTTATTTACGGCAGTTCTGAAACATAGGACAGTTAGTGTTTTCAGGAGCATTGACTGCCAACTGTCTCAATGCTGACTTCTTTAGAGTCCATCTCTGCGAAGCAGTGATGCTAGCTCGCTATGCAGATTCGGACGTCGTGCGGCAGGGGGATTGAATACTGTGAGCGGACGTCGAAGCATTGTCAGTTCGGAAGATCGCACACAGAAGAGCTATGAGTCATTCTCTGTACGAGCAGCACCTGCGACCCTGGTGCCCAGGTCACATGGTGACACACGTGATCACTTCGCGACGCATATCATGTAAAGACTCCGCGTACCCGCAATGCCTGTGGCTCAAGAACAAGAGCTTGGACAACCGTAGTAGCTTTTACCTCAGCGAAGCCTGAAAGTTAAGCTCTCCCGTTGCCGTGCAAATACTAAGATCAGTGACACGCTTCTGTGCGAGCAAAAAGAAGCGTGCGTTGCCTGTCTGCGCGGTGAGAGTGGGGTATCTACGAGTGAAGCATTGTGCTGGAATTTTGGAACTATATTAATTTGTACACCAACAAGCTCAAGGTGAGGAGAGCAAGGTATCGAGACCAAGTCTCACGCAAGTTATCAGGCATAGGCTCTGCTGACGAGGACGTGAATTACTTTCGCAAGAATGCTTCAGAGATGACGTCAGGATCAAGTGCTGATACGACTATGACATTTGCTCGTGATGTGCTGGCTCTGCCGGCAGCAGGGGACTCCACTGCGCCAGACGACGGCGGACCGTTGTCAGCGGAATGCAACTCCGAAGTGTGCTCCGAAAATGCCGGCAAGAAAACCGCGATCTTGGGCAAAAATTGATAGTACTTCCCGACCAACTTCATCGATTTCGCTATCGGTTTCGAGGAATGCAGAGCGACGACCCTCGAGATCTTTCAAGTGACAAAGGGACAGTCAACGTCGCCAGGGAGATCGAGAGATCGAGAACCGAGGAGTTCACCGGATGTGATGACCAAGATTCGACAGTTCGAGGAGTCGGCGACAAAGAGATTGAGAAGCGAGGGGAGCGGGGTACCGGCGTCCTGGCTATGGAAGACACAGGTTACACTGAGGACCAAGTCCGAGAAGCAGTGCAGAGAAAGTTGGCCACTCCAACGAAGCTGACTCAGCACGAGTTGCCCAATATGAGTAGGAGGTGAATGCCGTGTCGTCGCAGATACCCGAATTGGGGCAGGAAGATCAGATCATGGGGCCACTCTTCAACATGGAGAACTGGAAAGACAGAGGAGCACGGAGCAATGCCCAAGCAGGCGTGGTTCATCTCAACAGCGCCCATCAGACGGCAAAAGCTGAGTATGAGATTGCTATTGAGAGGAACGAGGAGATCAATCGTGCTCAACAGGTTCAAAATCGACAGGAAACTGAATACTTGGCTCGTCAGCTTCAAACCCTCCGAAGTGAAGCTGTTGAGGAGAAAGCTGAAGGCGACGGGGTCCACGAGGCCAAGGAGTGTCGGAAAATGGCGATCGAGCTGTGTGATCAGGCCAAGGAGAACCTAACTAAGCCTAAAGGCGGAAGTCACCAATGCTGAGACTGCAGCAGCTGAGATGCAACTGGTTTCCGGTGACACAGGCTGAAGTACAAGCGTCGACAATGGCACAGGTGATACCTTACTGAAGTCTTCAGAGCAGTTGCTGAGGTCTCAGGAAGAAGTCAACAATGCACCAATGGCTGAAAAGATTGGGCGGCGGAGAATGCTCACAGAAAGTTGGCTGACAAGCTGGAACACAATGAGAACATGCGCCTGGAATACGTGCGTAGGATGAGGGAAGCTGAACAACGCAACTTCAACATCGCTCCGAGACGGTGCGACCATCTCTTCCTACGATGCTAGAGGAAACCCAAGAACGGCGACAACAGCTGAGGCTCCAGGAGAATCTGCAGTTGAGGACACAGAGTGAGTGCGAGTCGGCGCGCCAGAATTCCCAAGGCACCTTCTCGCTGAACAGGCCCGTGTCCACGAGAACTTCTGAGACGGGCTGGGAGCATGTGAGGGAGCATGTGAGTCAGAGTAGAGTGATGGCTTGTCCAGTCAGCGCAGTGAGGCCCCCTGAAGTTCATACTCCTGGTCCTACCGCTAGAAGTAAGCTTGTCACTGAAGATCAGGATAGTGCATCAACGTTGATGCATGCGCCAGGCGCCTCCAAGTTACTTGAGTGGATTGCCAGATCAGCGTCAGCGGTCGAAAGGTTGTCTTTTCGACTCCATGCCTGACTTCAACTTCCTTGGTGTGTGGAGGAGTGACGCTCTCAATCCTCCATTCATGCACTGACGAAGGAAACGCTGTTCCTGTGTTTACAGCTACAGTGACTACAGCGATTCGCCAATCAGGGGATACATGTGACACGGGACACCAGACCTTCGGTGGGCTGCCCAGCACTGATATACCTACCCGTCTTTGTTGATGCGTGCTCACTGCGCTGCAATCATGTGCCGTACAAAGTCACTGCACTACACAACTGCAATCACCTGCCAATGGACATTACCGCTCACTACTACGGGGGCAAAAATGTTTCGCTGATGACATGCAATGGGCTACCCATGACTCTGTGCTGGCAAGCCGAGTGGAGCGTGAGCTTGCCTCGTACGCTTATATCATCTGGCTACGCCAGGTCTTAGCGGAGGATGAAGAAGAACATGGTGGAAAGAATAGGTATGATTGAGTTGGCAATCGGTCCTTCAGACCCCGTAACAGGATCCAGCAACAAAGCGGTGCTGTCTGCTCGTTAGGCGGGGTCTGGATCGTCCGCAGCGTGGGAATGAATACTACTGTGTACTGCGACTACTGCGACTACTACGACTACCACGACTACTACGACTACTACGGCTACTACGACTGCGACTACTACGACTACTACGACTACCACGACTACCACGACTACCACGACTACCACGACAATGACGACGACGAGGACGACGACGACGACTATTAGCACTACTAGTACTGCTACTGCTACTACGACTACTACTACTACTACTACTATTACTACTGCTGCTACTACTACTACTACTACTACTGCTCCACCAGCACGAGACGACGGGGATTACGACTACTGCTACTTACAAGAACGGGAGGACAGAAGTGGGAAGCAACAAAGCCAGGAACGAAAAAAGAACCCAGGCAAGAACGAAAGAGGAAGGATGGAAGACAGGAAAGGAAGGAAGCAAGGAAGGAAGAAAGGCAGGAAGGACGGAAGGAAGTGAGGACGAATGAGATGAACAAGGTAAGAGAACAAACTAACGACATAGAAGAAAGGAAAAAGACATGAAACAAAATCAGAAAAAACTAGAAAATGCGGCAAGAAAGCATCGAGTGATGGAAGGAAGGAAGGACATAACGAAGAAATACATGATGATGATGATGAAGCAGAAAGTAAGAGCGAATAGGCGAAGTAAAAAGAAGGAAAGAAAACGTAAAATACATTATACATACGTATTCTCTCTCTCTCTATATATATATACACACCCGTGATAAAAGTTATGACATATGCCCAGTGGGAGGTGGTGAGATTTTTTATGCCGCGGAAGGCGGAAGCCTGTGCATGCGCGTGGCCGTTTGGCGGCTTATTGTGGTGCGGTGCCGACTGAATTGTGTTCTTTCCAATCCCATGCCGGCCGCGTCGGCCCGTCAGCCACAAACGCATTGTACTGTCCAACGCTTTCTTGAACACTCGGGTATATCTATGGTGATTGGCGCTTATCGCGCTGGCGCCAAAGCGCGGTGTACAATCCTGCTCCTGCCGCCGTGCTGTGGTTATTTTGGCCTTCAAACGTCCCAGCAGGGCCTTGGGGGGCTGTGTGGTACCCGCCACGGCGCCGTGCGTTTTCTTTTTTTTGTGAACTCGTTCTCTTGCTACAGTCTGGTGTGCAATTCAGATTTTCGGTTATGTGGTTCTTGGGCATTATGCTGCATGTCACTGCTGGAGGCTCTTCTTGTCACGGGCACATAGAAGGCGAGGGGGTCGCTTTCAGTGGCAGGCAGCACTACGAGAGCTTTTCTGCAGAGCCATATCTGGCTGCAACTCAGCTGCTATTCGGCAGACTCGTTGAGCGCGGAAGCGAACACTCGGTGGGTTTGTCTAAGTGAATATCCATTCCCGATGCGGCTTTGCGATCTGGTAGTAGCTTCAGTGCTGGTTCCAACACACGAAGGCTCTTCCATGACCAGTTGCAGTGTTTTTCTGCAATATTGAGGCGATGAAGTCTTATCGGAGTTGAAACATGGTTCTGTGTTGTAATGATATGGCCTTCTGATCTTTCTTGCAAATATGTTAGCATCGCTGAGTTGACACGACCGCTCATATGCATGACGGACAAAGTGATTGATGATGTTACAGTCGTGTTGGTTGCGCCCGCATCGACTTCAGCGGCCATGTGTCAAGAACAGGCCCCAGCTGTGTCGTTGAGGCGGCTTTGGACAGGATTTAGGGTCAAGGGTGAGCCTCTCCTTATCCGACTCAGCCTGGCTTGCTCCTGACACGAATTTATGTTTTGTTTGTTGTTGCGTCAAACCCGAAAGCCCCAAACCCCAAGGCTGAAATTCCGCAAACCCGACCAGACCCGTGCAGCTCGCAAAGGTCACCAGCCTCATTCCGGATGTTTTTTTTGTCATGATAACGTTGAGGCCGGTCGAAGTGATGTACTGTCGGGGGATGCAAACAGGGTTTGGGAGCCAGACTAAGCAATGATCACCATAGCCATAGCCTCGATGTTGAGGCGTTGGTTGTTCTGCAATTAGGTCAGCAAAGGAGTCGGCATTTTTGTCTATCAGCCCGAACCACCCCGGTTTCAAGCGCTTGCTTTGTGTTTTGGGTGCAACACAAAGAAATTTCGAAGTGGAAAGGGCCAAGGACCGGTCGGGTGGCGGAGTGCCCTGAAGTTTTACGGTCACTACATATGCGCTGCAGTCTGCCGGATGTAAAAACTTGCAGTATCCGTTTCGGGAGATGCCGACTTTCGCACAACGGCATGGCCTCGGCAGCGGCACGTTGAAAGATGGCTTCAGAGGAAGGATAATTGCGATCGCGACCACCCGTGACATTGAAACCCGGTCAACACAACCCAAAGCACCTGATGGAGCCATCAGCGCCACGCTGCTTGCCCAACGGAATCCGTTCACACCGCCCGCGGCAAAGGTGTATGTCAGACGGAGGCGATGCGACAATGTGCGATGAAGTACGACATGGTGTTGCCGCCAAAAAGGTTTCAACGACAATCGCAATGCCTTGACAACCCAGCCTGCTCACGGCCAGGCTACACCGGCTCATGGCGACGCTGTCCCGTCGTCGTTGACGTTTCGACGTACAGACAATTCAATTTGCGGTGATCGATGTGCAAACAACACCCGCATCTCACGGGCATGCGGTATGTGGAAGCTTTGCTCGTTCTCAGAAAATCACGAGGGGATGTTTGGTGCGGTTTTGACAAGTAATCCATAATTTGCCGAAATATAATTGTCCTCCAATCGTTGTTCTAGGTACTATACCCTGGAATTTTGTAGTGTTTCCGAAAGATTTGAGCGATTCATCCCATCTCTGGGTCTCGTGCTCCAGCATGCTTCAGCTTTGCATTCCTGTGGTTCTTGCTTTGGCATGCTCCCACCACCTTAATCTATGGCCTGTGTTCCAGCCCTGTTGTCAAAGAACCATAAACTCCCAAGAAGCTGCTTGCGTAGCCAGGCGAAGTGTGGACACTTGATGTGTTACTTATCCAATCGAGCCAGCTGTTTCGTTTTCGGAAGATCTGAGGCACAGGATCTTGTGTGCAGGTTTATTAGCGTTTCAATTCCCTCGTTCCACCTGTTCAAGGCAAATCAATATACCAGCGCCCTCTTGAACGCACCACGGCTTCTGCACAGACCCCCCCGGTTCTGACAGGGTCGTCTACACCAACATCAAGGAGATGATACCCGAGCATCAGCAGCAGAAATGTGGAAGGGGCACAGGCAAGAGCAGCGTGTCGAGGATCGAGGTATAAGTATAAGCTTGTCTCATTGAGGAGCAAATGCAACTGCTAATGGGCATGTTTCCTGTGAGGGGGGAGCAGGCGTGTAGAGCTTTGCACACTATCGTTGCATGGTGCGTGCCGATTGTGACCTGGTGACTTGAGATACGCATCTTGCAACACTAAGATGGCAGCCTGCTCCGCTGCAAAAAGTTTAGAGGATGCTGCATGGCTGAATGCTGGATACAGATGCTCGCAGCCCAAGGCGATAATGGCTGGCCTGGACGGCTTCATGAACTATTGGAGCTTCTGGAAGGCTGCATGGTGTCGGCCTGTTCTCAGATTAGGCTATGCTCAGCACCGAAGCATAGGATTTCGTCACTTCCGAGTACTTGAGAGGCGACGACAAGCAACAAAAGGGGGAGGTTTACATGTCTCCGGGGTTTGTGTTGACCTTCGGTGACCGTGCTACTGTGCTAGGCGACCGACACTGCGTGTGTGATCAGCCAATGGAAGAGTCTGAGACACATAGCCATAGGTCATAGCTCATGACTGATGAACTGATGCTGTCCGCAGCTGTGCCTGTTCGAAGCCTGACTGTCGAGGTTCTGGAGTGGATTTCCCTGATTTTCGGTGGCGTCTGCTTCGGGATGTGGTGCCTTTGCATGATTGCTGCGCATTCCACTGGTTGCTTCAGGAAAGATTGTGGTGCCCGCAGCAGTCTGACAGACTGTTCGTCCGTAGCAATTCTCAATCCCTGTGATTTTTCCTCCAACTTTCAGAATGCCTTGCAGGGTGACGGTCTTCTTTAAGATTACAATCGACCTGCCTGCGGCCCTGGAGACACTGCCCAAAGGACGGGGAACTTCAGCCTCGAAATGGTTTGGGTTTGGAGTTCACGATTCGGGAGCAAGCCTTGTAATCGAATGTTACCTGTGCTCGAAATCCAGGTGATGCCCATCACGTTACTCCTGGGATGAGAAGTCTTTTGTTGGATAGTTCGGATCCTGCCAAGTGCACCTGCCAGAGGAGAATTCGATCGGCAAGTCCAGCTGAAGGGGGCTTTGGAGGAAAAGAAACTGGCCTACTTGAACTTCCAGGAACTTGAGGCAAATGACCTGAGAGAAAGGTCTGATGTCAGACACCGTTAATGCGTTTCTCTTTTGCCTTCACTGCACTTTGAAGCTGAAGCCTGGACGGAGCTTCTGTGCCATTCAAGAACAGCAAAAGAGCACAACGCAGGGTCAGGATCGGAGAGGTACTCCGACGGGAAGCTCTAATCAGTTTTGATTTCGAAGCCTGCAGGACCCGATTTACCTACAGCACCGCTCAAGCCCCTGCAGGCCGTAATGAGTCTCGGCGAAATCGAAGAGAAGCTCAATGTCATCATGACAGCCCCTGGCCGGGAAAGTTCTACTGCTGCTTTCAGTTTCTGTTGAACTGTTGAAGGTGCTGGGGCTTGCTCTTGTCCCACTGTGTATATCGTCGATTTGGTAGCGGCCATACTAGCACTGACCCCCACTTGGAGCCATTGGTCTTGACTGTGTGTGCAATTCTTGCAATTACCCTTGCTTCGCCGGTACACCGTTACATGGAAGTCTCAGCGGTCGGGGTGGTAGCAGAGCAAAGTTTCGTGTCTCAGTGGGGTCATAGTTCAAAGCGCCCAATGTCTTGCATGACCCGTTTCACGGAATCAGCTTGAGTCCCAAGCAAAGGATCTTCCCACGCATTTCTGTGATGCCTTCTAGTTTAGCCATCGTGCCGCTGAGATTGGAAACTCCATCCGCGACGACTCCGAGCTCATGCGGAATATGTTCGCCTTGAACTTTATGGTGGCTCGGCAAACATGGTCAAAGCCGGGCTTAGCAGTGGCAGCGTAGCTCAGTCAGGCGCGACGTGTTTAGCAACGGCGCCTGGCAGCTGGCCTGCCGTCGTTCCAATAATCAGATGTCTGGTAGGTGCGAATTTGAAGATCCACAGCCTTGAACAATGAACGCAGTGGTCGGTACTGTCCATGTCCATTGTCTGAGATTAGGTTGTCTCATCTTTAGCAACGGCACGGAAGAAGCCCGGACAGTTCTGAGCCTGTGGCTCGCCGGGTCGCACAGAGTGCGATTCTCGGCTGTCCAGTTCCGCTTGTCGTTGAGGTCGTGGTCTTTCGCTTCTTCAAGTCCTTTCAGGCTCGGTTTCCGGACTTCGCTGAGGCGGGCTCTCTGCTGCGAATTGCGGTGCCCTGCTAGGCCAACCCGTGGCTGGACATCGTGGTTCAGACTCTGGTGCACTGCACGCCCAATGTGGTGCCTGGGCAAGACACTGTCGGATGCGAATTTCGCGTGCTGTGCTAACCAGCATGATCTGGGTCCGCTCAGAATTTGCTTCTAGCTTATCAGTGATGGCATGCTAAGTTGGGGCCATGGACGTCCGGCACTAGTACATGCCACTAACAGAATAAGAAACTGGTTCTGCCAATTCCTAGGTCCTAAGTCTGGGCGGTGCGCCTGCGATTCTGTGGCATGAACGTACACCCTCGCTTATTTCCGTCATTGTCATCAAGCATTTTGTTTTGCAAAGCTTTGGTTTCAGGCACACTTTTTCCTGGTCTTCTCGGCCATCTTCACGTGCTACGCCTTCGCTGGCCATTTCCTGCTGGGGAATGTCTTGAAAGGCGTGTGCATTGATCTAACGGTCCTTGTCTTCGTATAAAACGACCTCAGGTCCGCGAAATGACAATGAACATCCATGAAACTGTCGTAACAGACTCGGGGCATGTCAGACTTGTAAAGTTGTAAAGAACATGTTATTATTCGGCAGGCAGGTCCCGAGCCCCGAGCCCTTCATCGCACCATGTCGCAGCCCAAACGGCCTCAGTGTGAGAATGTGTCAGTTTTTGGGACATCGTAGTTCTTAGTAGGTTCTCTGCGGAAAGATCCGTCAAAGCCGCCACGGAAGCCGGCGCGGCTTCTCAGGGCCATGACCCGCAACAACCAACAACCACACCATCGCCGCCGCCACCAACAACACCGGCACCGGCACAGGGACCGGCAGCACTAGTAGCAGCAGTAGTACTAGCAGCTTTCAGGAGCATGTTGGCATAGTTTCCGGATTTGGCATGAGAGTTTCAGTGTAGGGGGTCAAGACTTGCAGCAGCAGTCCCGGAAATCAACTCTGCCAGGCTACTCGAATGCTCCGTCCGCCTTGTTCTCGCGCTATCGGTCTACCGTGGGCGCGACAGATTTACAGGATGTTCTCAAGCATTGTCGTGCTAGCCGTAGGAGGCAGTGAACCGGGACGGGAGGCGTTCCAAGTGTTTCAACTCCGGTCATCGAGACCTTGCGGTTCTGCTTTCACGGGCCTTAACGGGTTTGCAGCCATGCGATGGATCGGAGCAAAATCAGTGAGTCGGAGAGCTAGACAGCCTGGGTCCATGCACCTAGAATCCGAACATGCATGGATCTTCTTTTGCTCGCTGGGTCAGTGCCCTTTCAGGAGTTACCAATCGCCCAGCAGGCTGTGGGTTTGCAAGTCACTGATCAATGAGCATGGTTTCATGTCGGTACGCAACTGCCAGCGGCTTTCGTGTTCATCGTGATTTAGCAAAGCGGACTCTAATCTGATTGAAGGTCTTGGGCTACACCTGGGTGCCTTGCGCACAATGTCATTGGTATTGGGGATCTGGCCTCTTCGGCATCCGACCCACGAGCAACCCTCTGCCTTGATGGCCGAGTCCCGAAGTTTACGGCCGTGTGATCCCAGGTGCTGTCATACCAACTTCTGGTGGGCTCGCTCATCTTGAGCATGCTGTGCCATGGCCGGAGAGCAAGGGATGGCAGGGGCCAGTGGACCGCTGCTGAAGCGTTCTTGCAGCGACACCTCGACTAGACCAGCCTCTCTGGACAAGGATTGGAATCGTTTTTGGCTCCTACTACGCAGTGCAGTCGGCGACCCGCCGCTTGGGCTTCCAAGTGGTGGTGAAGTGGGACGTGCCACTTGCTCGTCTCAGGCGCGAAAGGGTGACAGAGCCCAGTCCCTTCTGAGGCAAACCTATGACTCTGTGGACGCAGGCGCCTGGCAGGGATCAGGAAGAGCGTTGAGAGAAGGGCGCTAAACCTACTTGCCGAGGTGCGGAAAGCATTTCAAACAGCGGCAGAGACCCGCAGTTACCTAAGCCTCTGGAGCTTGTGTCGTGGCAAATCATTGGAGCTGGACGCCGTAGTACTAGATCAGCACGGAATGGCGAAGCCAACAGGACAGACTACAGCCACAATCTCGGAATCTCAGGATTGTGCTGATGGAGGATGATGCTGCTTGGTGGCAGAGTCGGTGCCTTGCGCAGGCATGAGTCCTGAGCGGTGGCAGAAGTGATGAACCGACATATCAGATCAGTTCTGTTCTATCCACACCCTGCCGTCGGCACCCTTTCTTCGACCATGGTGCTTTGGCAGTGTCAGTAATAATGTGTTATCGTGGATTCGGGTCCCAGGTGGGCTGCTGCCTGCAAGTCGTCTTTGGTCGCCACCAGTCAAATCAACACATTGACCGGCATTGGCTCATTTGTGCAAGGACTATCCAGCCCATCCCAACAAGATCGCCACGTCGCAGTCTTTGAAGAAAGCCTTTGAGAAGGAAAAGATGTCACGGCAGAGCCTTGGCTCACGATGCTGTTTGTTGAGCCGTGCTGGGACATTCTTTCTCGGTAAGTGACGCGCGCACGACTAGCTTGAAACGAGCCGTTGTGGAGCACACAGGCCCAAGAGCAGAGGTCGAACAACAGATGCAGCTGTTTAGAGAGAGAGAGAGAGAGACTGCGTCCCGAACGTTGCCGGGTGCGAAGGGGTGTGAAGAACGAGTCTAGTTCAACATGGCACAAAGTTCGCAACTTTTAGATAAGGGCAGTATGTTGATCGTACACTCTCGTTGACAATGAAGTTGGAAAGTATGCCATACATGCATTGACACAGCGAAGTCCCAATTAGATAAGGGCAAAAGACATTCAGCATGGCATACTGTTCCCCCAGCGTCATCAAGAATATCTGGGACACTTCGTTTGTCGACAGCGCAGAAGGGGAGGGAGACCTCCCCCTCAGGCCCGCAGCAAGCAAGACAGAGATGTAGGTGCAGAGTAGAGTTCAGGCAATTGGGGCCTCTTACCACTTTCTCTGACTGCAAACTACCTTCAAACTTCGATCTCGTGAGCGGTTCTGTCAGATGACGAACTCGAGACCTTGCCTGCTGACGAGCTAGAACGGACATAGCTGAAAAGCTGACTTAGGAACGCCGAGTACTTGATCCGCAAGAGCGTGGAGTTCCTGAAGGAAGCCGCGGTAGCCATGGCCAACAAATTTCTTGTTCGGCAACACGGCACGGTCTTTTCGGGATGGCTGCTCGCGATCCGTGCGTATGCAGCTGAAAAGGGGTCGCTCTTGAAAACGTATTGAGACGGCCTTTCTGGAGCTTGAGCATCGTCCAGAACAGAGTATAATGTTCCCTGGCTGCCTTTTCTGCCCGGAGGACCGAACTGACAATCCCGAGTTGGATCTTCCGGATGCGGTGAAGATCATAGGCAACAGTGCGGGCCCCAGCCGTGCATGATGGTGCGTGAAGGGAGGAAAATCGGCACACATTGGCGGGTGTTGCCGTCGAGAATCGGGCACAGTAAATGAGGACAGAAGTGGTATTTGCAGGTAGTGACCCCTTAGTGCTTCGCGGGTTTCCTTCATCTGAACGGCTGCATGTGCTCTTGTGGCACTGTAAACTGTAGCCTGGCGTCGTCTCTTTTCCCCCACGCGGTGGCACGTCATCAGCAGCAGTACTGCTGATTGAGCAAAATTGAGCACGTTGCTCACCTGGTGAGGTTGAATTGGCAACGTTGATGCTTACGGGTGTCATCAATGTTGGTTGCAGCATAATGCCAAGGTCACAACCTTTGCCAGAGGCTTCGCTGCATCGATGTGTAGGCAACACACTTTTTGTGTGCCAGGAGTGTGAGTCTGAGGCTTTGCCTGGTGTGTTCGTTTTCCAGACGGTTCCAGATGTTTTTGTAACACTGTTCATCTGATACTCGGTTTCTCGGATCACGTCAGTCCGTAACCCTGGCCGACAGAAGCCGCAGCAGGAATAAGTAAAGCTGATCAGAGCAGAACCTCGTTGCCCTCTTCTTCACTTTGGCTACCACTTTTCGCATCGGCCAGATTACATCGTCAAGTGAAGGTGTCCATCACGACTCCTCTTGGATTCCGCCAGGGCATGCTGCATGTCCTTAGGCCTTAGACAGCATCCGATGTCATTTAAGGAAGCATGAGGAGTTTCTTCAACAGTCCCACAGCATGCTCTGCGACAACTTGGGCAAAAGTCCTGGCGAAGAAGGTGCTCAAGAGGGTTTGGGAGCGGGTTCTCACGACAGGGTACCGTACGGTAGCTTGAGTTGGGCGAGCTGCCTTCTGGGAGAGAGGGATTGGAGATACCATCGGGAAGGCCTAAAGGCAACCACTGATTTGGGAATGAACGCGGATGAGTAGCGGTGTGGCAAGACGAAATGTAGGTGTCTGCATGTGCCAGAAGTTTTGCCACTTGAGAGCTGGACCTGCCATGAATGGCATGAGGGAGACCCATCCCGGGCATTTCGCAGAGGCTCAAAGCCTGTTCATGGGAGTTAATTCTAGGCCTCTCGATATCGTGTCATGATTCACAGCAAGATGCTTGGATGTTGATCGCCCCCCTCCCAAATTATTTTGATTTGAAGCATATGTACTTGAAATCCGTTCGGTACTGGCGTTAAATTGAATCTTGCAACTTGATGATTGACAGTCTTCTTGGGTAGGTGCGGGCTATCAAGACTTGTCCCCTTCTCGACCCAGTGATATGCCTCTCGGTGTCCGTGAGGTATGCCAGAGCCGGTCGGCCTTGTGCAGCCACCCGAGGAACCTCCTGCAGAGGCATGACTCACTTTGCAGTAGAAACGGTAATTGAGGCATTGGTCCACCAAAAGGGAAGTCCGGAACGAGTACAGCTTCAGAAGTCCAGCTTGCACAGCATAAGGAAAAGCGCTCCAATGCATCATAAGCCTTGTGTGTGTGTGTGTGCAAACGCTCATCTGTGAAGCAACGTGGTGATTCAGAAAGCCGATGCAGGCAGCATAGTCTTGCAACGCAGTGTAGCATTCTAATATTTCACCATCCCGCACATGCATTCGAGGTCCCTTCCTGAGGCAGCCATCACGTGCGAAGCATGGGAAGCAAGGTAAGTCCACCAGGATCAGAATGGTCTGTTCAATGAATATCTGCGCTACAAGCCCTGCATCCCGGGCGGCAGCTGTTGCAACGTTTGGGCAGGTGACAGCGACGGAAGATCAGCTTCCGGCGGACTTGCTGCTGAGAGGCTTGCTGGCCATATCTGTGAGACCTGAGAGGGATCTCGAGACATAGGTGGGTCTTGGAGACCTCAGTCCAATAAACCCCGAACATCGACCTTAAACAAGTGCTTCCCCTGCCCATATTCTCAAAAGCTCAGTTCGATACTTGATCTGCAAAAGTCCGCAGTAAAAGGCTTGGAAAACCTCATCTCCATGTTCAACGACATGAAGCATTCCCAAGATGCCTGGCAAAGTGTGCGTTGCAGTTTGGATGCGGGTTTGACACGAAAGTCTAAAGACATTCTTGTCATGCCGCGTGGTTGGCTGTTGTCCAGCTTTTGGCTTATCACTGATCTTGTAAAGGCCTGGCTTTCCATGGCCTTCCGCTGAACTAAGGAGGGCAGCCGTGAAAAACTCCTCCATTGCTTGGCACAGGACTTGCGAACTCAACCTAAGGTGCACATCCGCCAGCTCCATTCGGTTGACCAGGTTTTAGTTGCGATAGTTTAGTATCGCACCACAGGTACCAGAACTATCTTGCAACTCAGAGGAGCGCCAGCAGGCAGCCATGCGACGCCATCGGCATCCCGGCGGTGATTCATTGCACTTTCTGCGATTGCTTGGTCCAGCGGCGTAGCTAGCGGCACAGGTTCGCAGACAGCACAGCGACGTGCAAAGGCTCCAGGGCATCGTGGAGGAGTTCCGTTCCAGGGTCCAGCGCGCTCAGCGTGGAGTGGTGCGGCTCGTTCACTTCATGGGCAGCCCGGCTTCCTGCATGTGCGTGGTGTGTACAAGAATATCCATGCCGTACTTGATGCCTGCCAGATGCCTAGTGTTCTGAATGAGGGTGACAAGCGATGACAAGCGAACGGACAGCCGAGGTACGGCCGACTTTGGTAGCATTGCACATGTGCCAGACCAGATCGAAAATGACGCTTGCTGTGATAAAGAGTCCAGCGGCCCGCCTGTCAGTCTTGAAAATAGCTGCATCAACGTGTCTTGTTCTGCGGCTTCGCGACAGCCATGAGATTGTCAAGCTATCATTGATGCAGTGGCCCCGTGTGCTGGCACGAACCTGATCGAGGGGAGCCTGAAACTCTCATCTGCACCATCTGCAAGAGTGTTATCGAGCGGCGCTGTAGAAATCTCATCGAAGCAGAGGATGTGATGCGCTGCTTCGGTTCGCGGCCAGCGCTGGCGCGAGAGCAGCTGCAGCCGAGCGAGGCACTGCCACGGCTGGAGCCCATCTTGAGACTGAGTTAGACTATCTGACTTTCTCCAACATTCACCTAAACCCTAAAGGCCCTAAGAGCCTTCGGCCAAAAAAGTAAATCCTAGAGGCGCAGCTTTTCCGCAAGCGGCCTTCGAGAATACCGGTTTTGAAGCATGCAGGTCAGCCGAGTCCCCTATTGGGCAACCAGAAATGCCAGGTGGAATATACGAGTTCACATGTGCGGAGCAGGGAGTCAAAATCCTCCTTGATATTCTTGACATGAGGAGTGGGCCGGGGCCCAGGACTGTAAGGCAAAGCCCTGTTGCCTTGAGGTTTTGAAGCTGGAGCGGGAATGCCGGCAGATTCAGGAGAAGTTTGCTGCAACCTGGCTGCACAATGCGCAGCTCAGCCCTGAGAAGAAAAGGTCACTTCGTTTGAACCCCAGGAGCTGCTGTCCGAGTTTTCCAGCCTTGTGGAATGCCAGACGACAGTCTGGAACATTGCCACAAGCAGCTTGGGGCCCAGGATTCCAGGATTCTCAGAGAACCAAGTCTTTGCTTTTCTCTTTCAGGTCGTCGCCTCGTGGCAAATAAGTAGCGGAGCGGACCAAAGAAGGCGCTGTTTTCGAAGGCGTGGGGTTGGGCCGGGGGCCCTGGCGAGACTCGGATGATATGCTCTTGGCTTCCTGCGCAGGCGCTGAGTCTGCCACTGAATCTCCGAGCGTCTGCAAACGCAGCATGCGACTCTCAGAATTCAAGAATCGCCCAGGTCTCACTCCTTCGGAAAACCAGAGCTTGGCGGTATATAGCCGATACTTTATAGGCATGAGATCATTAGATGACGAAGGAGATGCCATCATCAGCCTCCCCGACCCCAACATGAACAGGTTTGATGCTCCATCCATTTGTTATTGGCAGCTTGGACTGTAGACTGTAGATACTGCTCTCAAGGCATGCACGGTCTCCGATCGTTGTGACCGCAGCCTCCAGCTTTCTTGCGAGTTCCCAGCACAACCGTTCGCTCTCAGCTGCTCATCGTGCTCTGACGTGATGCTGCTCGGCCATTTCGGAGACCACGGAGGATTCAGGCTTCATCTACCCCCTTGTGGGATGGCGTTTGATCCGCGACAGGCAGCTAGCCAGGCAGGCAGGCAGGCAGGCACCCAGATGGACAGACCAACAGACCAACAGACGGAACGACAGGAACGACAGGAACGACAGGACCGACAGGACCGACAGACCGACCAACCGCCCGGCCGGCCGACCGACGGACCGACCGACCGACCGAGAGACAGAGACAGACACAGAGACCCAGAGACAGACGGACGGACAGACAGACAGACGGAAGGACGGACGGACAGGGACGGACGGAGGGACGGACGTACGGTCGGACGGACGGTCGGACGGACAGAGAGAGAGAGAGAGAGAGACCGTCTCCCCAGCACAGCTCTGCCGAAAGAAAGAAACCGTCACCATTTTGGGCTCGAGTTTCTCACTTTTGTGGCAATCCGGCTGAATCCGGTTATCACCTGGAGACCTGGTGAGAGGGCTTGAGACCACGTGCCGTTAAGTTTGGCTCACGACGACGCCTCACAGGGAACGCACAGGCCCTGGCCCTTTGCTCTGTGCAAAGGTGGCCCAGTAGTATGTCGGGGCAGCATGCTTTTTTGGCGCGGCCTTGTAAGGGATCCAGATGACGACAGGGCCCCATGGACCTGAGGACCTGCCGATCGAGACCTGCAGGAAGACGATAAACGACCCCCACTCCCCAGAAGGCCAAAAGACGACATGCAACAGGCGCAGTAGACTGGGTAGGGGACACCGACGGGGTCACGTCCGCGATCTACACGCTATGCAGCAGCCGCCCATGCCCGGAACGAGGGGAGAGGGGTAAGGGGACCAGCTTCAAAGGAAACAGGAGGAGAGATTGTGGACAGCCCGCCTGCCGACAAAACGAGATGGTGGCAACGCGGAGCCCGCAGCAAGCACCACAGCCACTACAGCCACAACCGAAAGGCAGAGGGGGGCACAGGGAGGCGCAGCGCGGAATATGCTGGTGGCCGGTCACCGCTGAGGCAGACGCGAGCGGCATCCTCTCCGAGATCGCTCGGACTTACAAGCACCAACAACTACCGTGACGACCATGACCCAGGCAATAAGCAGGGCACCACTGTCGTCATCGTCCTCGTCCTCCACCACCAGTACCCCGATTGATAAAACGGACAGGACCAGCAAAAGAGAAAGCGGCCACCAACAGTCCAATACACAAACCGCTGGCCCGATTCACGGGACACCGAGAGGCTGACGATGCCTGTTGGGACATCATGGACTGGGGCGCGCCCAAAAAGCAGTGGTAGACCAGCCGTGAAGCTGTCGGGGAACACCCAAGGTTGTAGAATCCATGCCGGGGCACAACAAGGTTGTGGAGCAACCTCCGCTACCACGAAAAGGCATTGCCGGGCAAAGAGCCGGAAGCACCAAGATGACGGAGGGGGACCAGCCGCAAAGGTGCCGGGTGCTGCCATTAAGCAAGAACCTGGATCACCCAATACGAAGAACCGAGTGGACTAGGCAACCACAATGACATGAGCGACAGGGCTGGCACAGCAGGTTCTAAAGATGTGCATAAAGCAAGGAAGACCGCGTGCAGATGAGCGCAAACGGAAGCGGCACGGAGCTTTTCTCTTGCACATAATTGGGGGCACCCCAAAGCCGTGAGCGATATCAAAAAGAAAACCTGACAAAGGCTGTTCTGTCTTTGGTGATGCAGTGCAGTCGTTTCTAGATCGCTAAGTTTTCAAGGGTTCCAAATTTACTTCGCCACCATGGAATGGAGTGCTTGCAGTGAGCACAAGACCTTCGAGGCCGTTAATTTGATCTCGTTTTGCTCTACCCACTGTGTCAAGCCGGAGTGTGAGCGGTGACCCTAGGGTTCCAGTTCTGCGTGGAGGTGTAATTGTGCACATGTCCAGCCTGTCCAGCTGTTACTTACACTCGGGACACACGCCTCTACGGGCGACTCAGGCCTACATCTGACTAGTTTCGCATGCCCAAAGCCCTCGCCGAAAAGAGCTACCACTTACCAGCAGCGAGCTGCAGTAGCAGGGGGCTCGCGGACACATCCCTCATTCAGGATGCTTCTAGAGCCTTGAAAGCACGATGCCAGCGTTGCTCTTAATATCTTTCCGTAAACCCGCACTGGCACGGGCTCCCCAGCGGGGGCCAATGTTGCTACCCAAGTGGTTGTAGCCGAGGAAAGAACGAGTGATACCACTGCAAACATTTTGTTGCAACTTGTGCCGACAAAATATTGTCGACGTTGAGCTCCCCCGATACACAAGGAGAGGGCAAATGCTTTGCGGGATGCAGCCGACAAGCAAGCCACACACAGGCAAACACGCAAACAAACAAACCAACGAACAAACAAACGAGTATCATGAGCGGAGATGAAGGTGAAAATGAGGATGAAGGCGACGGGGCTCAGGCGCAGACCAAAGCAAGTAGGTTTTCACCCCTCGCTGGGGCTCCTGTCGCCTGCGCTGTTGTATTTAGTAAGGTCAAGGGTTCCCCACACCGGTGTTGATTACCAAGCTGCAATGCGGCACAATTTGAAGAGGCGCTCGGGGTCGACGTCTTGACTGCGGCTGGATGCCTCCAGGAGTGTGGTTGAAGTTCTCGAAGCTCTGGTCGAAGCACACTTTCCGAAAACGAATGAAGCCCGAATTCTCAATATTCGCAAGGATTCAGTAAAAGCAACGAACAATAACAATTAAAAGGAACAAACAAGCGTCGTGATGTCAATGATCTCATCATCTCAACGGATGAGATGATCCGTATAGGGTAAGGTTTCTGCCCGCTACATCAATTACAGGGAATGATGTAGAACGAAGTGAGATGAAGGTGAATATGAGGATGAAGGTCCCGCCAGCTGCCCACGATGGGGCCCAGGCGCAGACCAATACTCAGGTACATTCGCACCCTGGGGGAGCTCCTGTCCCTTGCATATTGCATCAGCAAGGTCAAGCTTGACTGACTCAACCCTTCTTCAAACTTTAAACTCAATGTTCAGTTCATTGCAGATCACTCAGTCTGCAGCCTGGCTCCTGTTGCGCCTGCCCGAGGTTCAACGTCGGATTCGCTATGAACATGAGGCATTGGCCTTAATTACGCCGAAGTTTGGCAGTTCGAGTCCTGTTCTGACCATGCAGACTACACTTGAAGCAGCCTGGAATGTCGACAAAGCATACATTAAAACAAATATTTCCGGCTTCAGTTGTCAACTTCTTTCTCAGTCAGACGCCTGGTGTCAGTTCCAAAATGTGATCCCCGTACAAGAATCGGAATGGCCGGCATCAACTGCAGGTCCTCCGTGCAGTACATCACGAAATCGCGTTGGCGATTGAAAGGCAGGCATCGGGCGTTGTCGCGGACATGAAACTTGCATCAACGAGGTCTGCACCAGGCAACAAGGCAAGATTCGTTCGGATTTGATTCCCTTCAGAATGTCGTGGCCAAAAGCGAAGCTGCTAGGGTAAGCTCCAACCACCCAAGTCGCACGTCAAGGCACGATGACAGGGTGTGCGAGAGTACGTTGCGTGAAGAGCTTGCGAGGCATCGGTCCGATGGCAGCAGGCCTGCGCCTGGCTGCGGCGTGGCTTGGCCGGGAAGTCGCCAGCTTCGGGGCATTCGGCCTGCACATCCACTGAGGCGGTCCGTGCCGGCCATCTCCACGAAGGTGGGGCACAGACAACAACAGAAGTCTTCCCCAAGCGTTGGCCCACTGCAGGGTTTCTCCATGATGTCTGCAGAAGTGCAGAGCCCGTCATCGTGGACGCCGCCCGCCAAGGCCACCAAGCCACCAAGCCTGAGCTGCTTGACGGTGGGTGCCGACTGTGAACGTGACTGAAATTCGAGAGACACTCAGGTGGAGATGTCATTGGCGCCAGTGAAAGAAATACAGGTTGAGCCTGTGGTGGAGATCACTTATGAGGAGCCCCTGAGATCCAATTTGAGGCGGCTCCTTCTTCAGTTCTTGGCTGGAGCTGATACTCCTCGAGAGCTGATACTGGCTGCTGTTCGGCTTTAGTCTGCTTCATGCCGAGGTTGAAAAGTCTCACGCCCGATGTTCTTGACAAGCTTCGCAAGGCCTTTTCAGGTTGCCGCCTAAGATTTTGCAGGGGCAGATGTATTGTCAAGATTCCGTCACAGACGTGGCAGTTGCCTGGTCTGGCCGGTCTGGCTCTGAGATGCGTTTTGTGAGGCCCACGCGCCTACGGAGCTGTGGCCATCACGGGCATCCCGGGTTCCTGGATGCGTTTTGTGCCAAGGTCTTTCTACACACCTGCTTTCCCTCTAAAGCGTAAACCAACTGAACATCCGAGATGCTGACCTGAACCCTGGTAGCATTCCATGATGCAGGAACATGAAGCCCAGGTTACGCCGAAAAACGTCGCAGGGCATTTCGAGCAGGCACCTTGGCGGCAGATGATGAAAGCCACGGCCATCTTCAAAGGTTAGAGTGTATGGGTATCGCGTCTGAGACGGGGCAAGAGATACGAGCGATAAGGAATGCAAGATGTACAGTATATGATATGCTAAATGACATTGGGCATCAGGCAAATCATATGAGCTTAAGACTTCACACACGACATACCGCACGTTACACGACACATGCAAACTGGTTCCGACGAGGCGCTATCTGGCTTTCTGTAAATAATATAATGTATGGTTTGTTATAGTTTTGATATGATGCATGGCATGCGTTATATGACCCATGGCCCAGCACGACAATGCAATATACAGCGCGATTAAAGTGACAAGATTTATGACCCGCCAGGAGTGACATATGAATGCGTAATTGCATGTGTGCAGCTACATGTACATGTATATGCATATATATATATATATCACAGACACAAGGCTGCTTGTTCAGCCTCTTCAGGCATCGATTTGGCACTCTTGGACCCACAGGGTCGTGAACGAGCGGCGGCTGTGAACAACACCTACCCTGGCCGCATGGCATGTAAGAAACGTGGCTTATTGTAGCTGCAGGCTTTAATTTGTCTTTGCTATTTAGGATTCATGTTAGGGTTAGGGTCCCCTCTTTTCTGAAACTCTCGTTGGGAGCGGCATTGCTTGTTCTTGGCTGATTGTTCAACAGGCTCGGAGAAGGCTCAGGAGTCACAAGGTGTCCCCGTAGGTTTGCCAAAGTCTTTCCCCAGCGCCTTAATTTTTCAGGTTGGAGCGGTACGCCAGGCGGGCGTACTTCTTGCAAAGATTCAGTTTCTGACATCGTTCGCACAGACGTCTGCAGTTGCAACGCCTGGGGATGAAGTCTAAGCAGTCAATGGTCGCAAAAGATCGCACAAGAAGTCCAGGATGCAGCGCTACAACTGCCCCGACATTTCGCCAAATCCTTCATGATCGGTCAAAACACATTCATCCGTGGCTGGAGCTTTGCGCTTCTTCCTTTCCTTGCAGCTGTCACTCCTCAGAGGGCAAACGCATTTGCAATGCCAGGCAGTGAGACGCATCCGCATCTTGGTAGAAGAAAGCGGTTGAAGCTAAACAAACCCTAGACTGCGACTTGGTTCGCAGGAGCACCTCTAACCTTGTTGCTGCGCGACGGTAGTTGCTCACCCGGCAGTCACTTGCATGGAGATTCCAAGCATCTATTCTCACGCTGAACCAATTCGTCGAAGCTAGGGGCGTTTACTACTCCGGGAATGGTGGAGCAAAGCAAAGGTTGCAGAACAGCTTTCTGTTCAACGTGAAGGAGGAGCTCCCGGAAGGCAAAGTCGAGCCTTTTCTGCCAGCTGGGGGTACTTGTGTAGAGTATATACGAGGCTCAGGTGTCGGAGGTGGCATGACGAAGCTCTCACGACTTTGCTGAGGATCCCTTTTTTGGCAAGAACATCTTCCCCAGCGAGGACCTCCTAGACTCTAGCCGGCACAGCACGTCCCTGACTCCCTGCTGCAAGGAGTATCGTCAGACGTGGGTGGAGTTTGCAACTTCCATGTACGGCGTGGCTGTGGATGTCCTGCGTGGCCGGGTGCCCAATCATTGAGAGGGTCCGGGCACTGGCTGGTTTTAGCTTGCAGGTTGCGACAAGGTGATGGAACAGGACGTGCCTTCCTGGTCGGAGTCGCCCCGCAGCCTCGCAAAGATGGGTGTCTCTGGCTTCAGTTTCATTAGACGAAAGCGCAGCAGCAGCTCGAATCTAAAGTGCATTCGAGATTCGACGCTGTTGACCGGTCGGCTTCGCCAGAAGGTACCCGATAGGTTTGCTTCACAGATCATCGATAAACTGCTGTACTGCATGCTGCAAGGCGGTAAAGAGGCTTCTGCAAATCCACTGTCCCTAATTGCTTCAGGATCAGAGGCCATGTGAGCCATGCGGTTGATGCATGGATGGGCAGACGGCCAATCCAACGTCGTAGCATAGCCCAACAGAAGCAGCGCAAGTCGTCAGCGAGCCATCTCCAGGCGACGATGGACCGGCGCTTGCCGGCCGATTCATCTGTGGGAGCCTTGGGAAAGGCATCGGTCTGAGGCACCGTCAGGGTATCCTCTTTAGGAGGTGGCAAGTTTGTGCGATTGTATCCGTAGGGTCGGTGGCACAGAAGCACTCTGTAATGCAAAACCATCGTAGAAAGCAATAGAGTGCCCGACATGATGGTTTCGCCCCGAATCCAGTCTGAGCACTGAGGCTATGACTCCGGCTTCACTCGAGAAGATCGGCTCCTTGAAGTCGCCAAGGACTTTGCAGACGCCCGCTCGCTGTTTGAAGTGCAGGCCCGAGGCTCTAAGTCGCGCTTTAGGACAGCTCTGATCATGACGAGTACTGGCTGCGCGAATGGGAGAGTGAGCCAGCCGCTTCGCACAGTCTGATGTTTCAGGAGAGAAACAACTTGGCTACCGGAGATGTGCCAGACCTGTCGGAGCCTGCCAAAATGTCCGGTAGGTTGGCGGGGCACGCCGGAGATGGCCTGGCGTCCATGCGGACCCACACCACCCCGGTAAAGTCTGCTGGGCACGCCGGAGATGGCCTGGCATCCATGCGGACCCACTCCACTCCTGTGAAGTCTGCAGGACACGC